TACAATTTTGGGATGCACCTAGTGGCATGGCATTTATTAGGAATGAAGACTTCTGAGTTCTGGTGCATTTGTGTGTGCGGGGGTCATTATGTTACCGCTATGCGGTATCAAGTTTGTTTTTTTCCTCCGGAGATTTTTGGTCAACCGTAGCACAAAAACGGCTGCACCAATCAACATGAAATTTGGCAGGACTTTAGATGAGTCCGACCTACACTGCGTCAGCCAACAGTTTTACGATAGACCCCATATTTGAGGAGGGAGCTCCTTTCAAAGAGTGGGTGTCAGGACATGCAAAAGTGCTTATAAAGCAGAAACTGTTCAATATAGGAGCTTCAGATTTCTTTTGTTGTTTAGCTCTGATGAAGCTCTATCCATCAAGCCCACCAATCATTGCCCCCACCACCCCTAGGTCTCGGTTTGGTTGAAGTGAACTCTGTTGTGGTCCGATTGCATGTGTGAACGCCAAGCAGACAGAAGACTGCTCCAAAAGCAGGAAGTGGACTATAACACAGGTCATTCTTAGTAATAACAGTAATAAAGTTACTCATATTTTGTAAATACCTTGTTGGATGTCTGTATAAGGTGGACATCACTGCTTTGAAGTTGGATGTGCTCCTTATCGGTAAACACTGCCTCACATTGAGCTATCTCAGCCTCCTTGTGCAGAAAACATTTTCTGTGGTTCTGCCTCATCTCCCTGTCATGCTGTGCTCATTGTTCAGTACTATTTGTATGGCACATTTGCCAAAACCAAAACAACTTTTTTGTTCCACTCTCGGAGGAGTAAGACACTTTTTCCTTCTCTCCTGCCCTTCCTTATCTTCCCTGGTTTGCTTCTTGGAGCCTTCTCTACGTTTTCGTCCGAAACCAGAAATTATGGATATTTTTATTTTTATGGATTTGGTTAGCTGGTCTCTTAATAAATTTTTGGAACAAAGTTTTTTCTTTCATGGGAGGACATGTCAAAGGTGGGACCTCTGTTCTGCTCTGTTCTGGATATATATTTGGATTCAGATCACTGGATTCTACAGATTGGCTTGGTGGTCTCCGGGTGTTTCTACAAAACAGCGTYGGTGGATATTCGTTTCCTGGCTGCCTGACTATTATGAAGGATGGCCATACTATCAGCACTCGGACTTTTGCCTTGAGCGACCTGGACTCGGTCTGCAAGCAGTTCTGCTGAGGGTCGCGGGCCAGCTGTGGTTCCTGGACTCTGCTGGCCAGATGGAATTGATCTTGGAGAAAGCTGACAGCTCGGCTCTGCGGAATTTGTCCACACTATTTGTCTGATTGGATTAGCCACATTGAGTTGGACCAGTGGGCATGAAGGCAGATGGAAAGTTGTTATTGTCTGCCTGTCTCTTCTGTTCCCAAAAACACTGATTACAGATTTGGCTCTCCCCTACATGGCCTTGAGCTGTTGACTAAATTCTTCCTGGTTGGTTACGTCGACTGAGGGTCTGCCCCACACCTCCCCCCCCCTCTCACACCCGCCTGTGATCTGGTTCCTGGAGCAAGCTGAGGGCCGCACAGAATGAACAGTTACCATCCATATTCTGGAGTATGGCTGCGCGAGTTCTGGGGACTGGATTCTTCGGGCTCATTCTTATTCACACAAGTGCATATAACACATGGCTTGAGATACATGCCCCCCCTGAACTCACTCATCTGGCTAAGAAATGTGCTCTATGCAGAGGTTTTTTTATAAACACCATAGTGTGTCACATTGTTGATATGATGTTTTTTTCATCTTCCCTTTTTAGTTTTTCTTTTAAGGGTTGCGCCTCCTCATGATGTCTTCATGATGATGATCCTTGCTCTGTGCAGGGTCTGTGGCTGCATGACCCAGAGCACCTGTTCTCCTTTGTTTGTTATGTTCTGTCTTCTTCTGAATGGGTGTTCTGAAACTTAATTTCATTGTGCTCTGTACAATGACAATAAAGTTCTATCTAATCCAGGGACGCCCAACCTTTTTTTGAACCAAGAGCTACTTTTGAAGTCGGCAGTTTGCCGTGATCTACTCGTCCAGTCTCAGTATCAAAAAATAATAATTTTGTCTCCCTACTCCTCACTTCTTTAAAGTAAATAAAACAGAACATAATGTGTTGCTAGTTTTATTTAATTTAAAGTATTGTCAAACAAAACTATCTACTTAACCATATATTTACCTACAAAAAAAAGAAAAGATAAAATCCTTACTTAACTCCTGACAGAGAAACAGAAAAGTGATGCTTGAACAAAAAGTACCATTTTTTTAAAATCTCCTTCAATTAGTACTCACTGTAACGTGTGAGCTATGAGGACTGGAAACCCTTTCCAGAGAGAGAACCACAGAGTCAAATAACTCTGGACCAGGGGAACTCGTCTCCATTTATTCAAAGAACTCTCCTATCTTCTCTCCATTCAGGGGAGGGAAAACAATACAAAAAAAAACTATCAGGGTCAACATGGATACCACAAGAGTACCGCCCTTTTTTTCAAAGTCAAAGCACACAATATAAAACTCTCTAGCAGGCGACTATAAAACCCGGTGCTGAGCTTCCAGGACCGGTTTCACCTGATCAGATCTGTTCCTTTTATTGCCTGGAACAGATCCATCAGGTGGGTTTCTGAATTTTATGCATTATTGCAGAAATATCGCCCGCCAGTGGTTCGGGGGGCAGGCTGTTATAAAACCCATTGCTGAGCTTCCAGGACTGGTTTCATCTGATGAGATCTGTTCCTTTTATTGCCTGGAAGTTATTCATCAGGTGGGTTTCAGAATTTTATGCATTTTTGCAGAAATATCGCCCGCCAGGGGTTTCTGGCTAAATTCAGGCAGGAGAGTGGGTGCTGGATGCATGACTGCAGTTCCAGCTCACTGGATCTCTTCCTTCCTCTCTTCCTCTTCCTTCACGCCCGGATCCGACGCTCAGAGCCGGCGCTAGAGTCTCCGGAGTAAATTGAGTACTATATCGCCTGCCAAAGCGCCTTTTTCGGCCAGTCGTTGGTTAATAGCTCCGCGGGGGAACATCCCAGGAACTTGCAACCACCTCCACTTTGTAGAGGAGGACCGTAGCTTTCCAAATTCATCTCACTTTCACGGATCCGCGCTCAGTGCCCGCAGGAGAAGCAAAAGAAGGTTGATTTGCTGCCGAAATTGAGCAAAAAAAATGCACTAAGTGGTGAGGGATTTGGTGGTTTTTTGCTTCCAGCTCCGCGGGGGAAGCAAAGGAAGGTTTTCTTTCCGAAAATGCACTTAGTCGTGCGTACTTTGTTTATAGCTCCATGGGGGAACATCATAGAGACTCCATACAAGTATCAGCTTGTAGGGCAGAACCAGAGCTTTAAAACCCGACCAGCCACTCCGGGATCCTATGCTCCTAGCCTGGGGAGTGGGGCTAAAACCACCTCCGGCGGAAGTCTGACTGTGCGTAATTTTGGAGGTTTTTCGCTTATATCTCTGCGGGGGGACATTGCAGGGACTCCAATCAACTTTCTACTTGTAGGGCAGAGCCAGGGCTTTAAGACCTGACTAGCCAAGCCGGGATCCGACTCTCCTAGCCTGGGAGTGGGGGGGGGGCTAAAACCACCCCGGCGAGAGGTCCGACGGTGCGTATTTTGGAGGTTTTTTGCTTATAGCTCCGCGGAGCAACGTCGCAGGGACTTCAATCAGCTTTCACCTTGTAGAGCAGCACCGTGCTTTCAAACAAGACCAGCCACTCTGGGATCTGATGCTCAGAATGGCGCTAGAGGCTCCGCAGCAAGGTTGCGCTTCACGGGCACCTGGGAACCAGCTGGCGGGCTACCAGTCGCCCGTGAGTGACTGGTTGGGCACCCCTGATCTAATCTAATCTACTCTAATCTAATCTATAAATCCTACAACCACTAAAATCTGACATCACTCAATGTTTGGCCCTTTCCCAATCGGTGGCTACACCCTCGCCCTACTCCCTACTCACTCAGTTTGTGCGTTCCCGCGGAGGGTTGGCCATATTAAGTCCCATCTGAAACCAATTAGGTACAAGGGCGAGTGGCTTATTAAGCCCTCCACAGCAAGTCTGCATCCAATGCAGACTTGAGCAGCACGTGCAGCACCAAATAGTGGTCGGCATGGAGGACAGGACGTGTAAATATAAGTTCCGCATATGTTTAGTACACATATTTACCACTAAGTAAACAAACGCCTCACCAACGAATATAATTCCACACATGCTATAAATCATATTCACTTCAAACTTTATTAAAGACACAGAACCATGGTCAACATTTAAAAAAGAAGAAAGGAAACATTTAAAAAAAATAAAAAATATGCATAAATTATTTAAAAATATTAAAAGTGCAATTATTTTGACAAGTTATCACACTGTGTTTGTTACAGATACAGTCATATCTGAAAACTCTTTTGAAATATGGGCCTAATTCAATGTTTTCTTTGGTTTATTAAAAAAGCAGTTTGTTCTCCAGCATTCAGTCACTGCCAGAGGTTGGACTGTTACCATGGTGACAACAGCTTCCTGTTCCGGTGGTGTGAGGAGAGCTCGTCTCAAAAGAGGAGGGTGTATACAGCGCCATCAAGGGGACTCAGTTCAGCTGCGAGGGGGCTTCACAGCGAGTGTAGTCTGTAGGGAGTAGGGCGAGTGTGTAGCCACCGATTGGGAAAGGGCCTTTGTTTACATTTTGTAAAGAAGGAAGTTGCTTCTTCTTCTGTGGTTTTCATGTCAATTCCTTCTGTGGTTCTTGGTGCAGCTCCACCACAGGCAAGGGAGGGAACATGTTGTTTGCATGGTTTAGTTTGTTTGGCAAAGTGCAGTGTGAATGTGAAACACACCAGCTGAAAATGTAAACAAATCCTGCAGTTTTGGTCCCCAATCGAACCGAGTCTACCGGACTATCAGGTGTGAATACGATTTAAGACTTACTGCCATCTCCTTTTTATAGAGTTGTTTTTCTTGCAGCCCTTCTAAGCAGACTTCAGTCTTTTTGCGTTTATCTTGTCATGACCTTTTAAGCATTACATGATCTGACCTTGGGGTGAGTTTGTTAGGATGTCCATTTGTGTGAAGGCTGGCAGCTGTCCTAAATGTTTTGCACTTGTGAATAACTTTTGTCTCTGTAGAATGAAGGACACCAAATACTTTAAAAATGATTTAGACCGATCTCAGATTGATGGGCAGTAACAGTTGCTTCTGTAAGGTCATTGATGATGTTGATATGTTGTGTGTTTTTGTACAATAAAGGTTAGTTTGAAATAATTTTACAACCTGGTAAATACCAGATTGTTTTTATTATTATTATTATTATTATTATTATTATTATTATTATTATTATTATTATTATTATTATTATTATTATTATTATGTAATTGTTTTATATGTAAAATCTAAAAAGAGCCTCCATTTTTTCTCCCACAGTGTATTAGATTGCTTAAGGATATGTTTTTTTGTTTTTGTGTAATGAAAGTTCTAGTTTATCAGCTTATCTTGGTTACATTTGTACTATTGTGTGTCAACTTGCATATTTATCAGTCATCAAATATAGTCAAATTTATTCACAATTTAAGTCTAAACCTTACTAAGATGTTACAGATTCTAAGTGATTTCTGGTAAAATACAGTAGTTAGTCCTGCACTGTATAATTCTGACTGCCTGTCCATACATTTTAGTTAAGGTTTAATATAACTTAGTTTATACAGTATTTAACCAGTGGGACATATAAATTGGAACAAAATGTGTCATCTGGACTTGTTTATCTGCTGTCAGATTAAATTGCCAAACTGTTCTGCAGGTGCCAGAATCGAGGAGTTTCTCTATGAAAAGTTTGACATGAAGGCCCCGTCCAGGGATACTAATTCAGAGCTGCTGGGTCAATATATGGAGGGTGCAGCACAGGAATTTGGTCCTGGGACTCCATATGGTGAGTACACAAGTGCATCCAAAGTTCAGCTTCAAAAAGTTAAAAGTACTGTTTTTGATTTTGAGGTAATGTCACAAAAGCAACACAAACTCACTGCCACAAAAGTTAGGTAATTAGAAGAAATGGCCCAGTTTGATCCTAATTTGGTCTATAAGGGTTTTTACATGGTAATTTTTTCTTGGAGGTATTGGATTCTTTACAACATGTCATTCTGCACCATGTCTTGACAATTGTCAGTGGTTTACAAGTTCACCGTTCCATGAGTAGGCTGCTGTTAACACTACAGCAGACAGCTGAGTTAAGGGTAAAAATGTGGGCAGGTTGTTGTGTCTCTACTGACTGAAGATCCGTTAAACAGTGTTTTTAAACAGTTTCTGACTTCTTGCCTCATCCAGACCACGATTTTATTATGAGCTTGTTTCAGCACAGACAAACTAAACCACAGGGGAAAAAAGACAGATGGCAGAGTTTGTATTTAACTACTTTTAATGCTGTTTATTTACTAATTAAATTGGTCATTGTGACCATCTGTTTTGTAATCCTAAAACTACACACATTAGCCCAACTTAACTGTTATAAATGAAGCACTAAAAACTTTGTTTCTGTCCTTGTTACTCAAAACATCTGAAGGCTTTTTTGTAAAGAATTGCAAGCTTTGTCATGAATGTGTACAGAAAGCATTTTCTGCATTTACATAATCCTTCTTTCACATTTTATTTATTTACAAAGTAAAGAAATTTTGATTGAAACATAAATACAGTAATTTTTGATATTTGAGAAATAAGTGCTGATTTGATCTTAACTGCAGTGACAGATTTGTTGTGAGTCTTTGTAATGGTCTCATTGCAGGGAGCACTTTGATGATGGTGGGGGACTGTGAGAAAAGATTAGGAGCAGCAGAGAGGGAGTTCATCCAGACGTCAGCCATCAGCTTCCTCGCCCCACTCAGGAACTTTCTGGATGGAGACTGGCGGACTATTTCAGTGAGTCTGAAACATCACACTAGGAATGTGCGATATGGCAAAAAATTCATATCATGATATACATTGGTGGCAGTAACAATATATATCACGATATAAAACTTATAATAGAAAATAAATAAATCGCATATTAATTGAGTGGAATGTATAAATATGTATAGGTAAAAAAATTAAGACCTTAAAATCTCCTTTTTTTAAGGGACACTAAAGTCTCCCATTAAAATCTAAATGTAAGGTAGAGCTACCTGGTTAAATCAAAGATATATACACTCCTGATCAAAATCTTAAGACCAGTCAAAAAAGTGCAAGAATTTGCATTTTGCACTGTTGGATCTTAAGAAGGTTCTAAGTAGAGCTTCACAATGTTAAAAGAAGAAATCAGCATAAGAGACACAAACTTTTGAGTGGGGAATTAATTGAAAACTGCATTTACACTCAAACATGATTTTTTTCAGCTGATCAAAAGTTCAAGACCATAGCTCAAAAACCCCCGAAAACCCCCCAAAACAGAAATCAAAGTGTCAAAAAAAGGACTCAGTAATGAGTAGCTCCACCATTCTTGTTGATGACATTAAACAATCGTTTAGGCATGCTTGATGCCAGTGTTTCCAGGAGGCTAGTGGGAACGTTGCTCCAAGTGTTGAAKATGGCTTCACGAAGGGCATCCACTGTCTGGAACTGATGTCCATTATTGAAAAACCCAATCATTACCACACAGACGAGGGCCCTCAGTCATGAGGGATGCCCACTGCAACATCTCCACATAGCCAGCTGCTGTTTGACGCCCCTGCACAACCTGAAGCTCCATTGTTCCATTGAAGGAGAACGCACCCCAAATCATGATGGCGCCCCTACCACTGTGCCGTGTAGAAAACATCTCAGGTGGGATCTCCTTGTCATGCCAGTAATGTTGGAAGCCATCAGGACCATCAAGGTTAATTTTTTTCTCATCAGAGAAGACACTTTCTTCCACCTTTCAATGTCCCATGTTTGGTGCACCCTTGCAAAGTTCAAACGGGCAATTTTGTGGCGTTGAAGAAGACGTGGCCTTTGAAGACGTTTTTTGTTTCTGAA